GAGTTATATCTTCTTATTTCTTTTTCGACTTTCTCTTCCTGGGGTTTTTGTTGTGATATTTCAGTTAGAATGTATCTTTTGGAAGTCTTGTTGAGATTTTGCTATAAATTCTTTTTTAATTCCAGGCAGTCTCCTCCCTTCCAGATCCTGCTCTTTTATTCTTCCTCTCTCCTTTCCTGTTTTCAAAAGCTTTTAATTATCCAGAAATCTTTATTATCCCTTTGACTTTTTATTTTCAGCATTAAATGCCTATTGATGTCAAAGTGGACTTTTTTCCAATTTCTTGCTTAAGTCTCTTAGCTGTCAGGATAGGAAAAGGAGAAAACCAAATCTTTCCCCTTTTCTCTCTCCTTCGCAGCTTAAAAATCTTCTTAGGGAACAATGTTATTGTTTTTTAACAGTTTCAATTCCAGGGTACCTTATTTGTTGCTTTTGCTGTTTGACCCAGTCAACCAAAACTTTCACTTATCTTCCTCCTGCACATTCTTTTCCGGTCAAGTTCTTCTTTGTGGTGGCCATTTCTGACCACCGCTGCAGCCGCCTTTGGGAAAGGGAGTAATGGCCAGCTGGTGAGGAGAGATGCGGCTCTCCTCAACCCTGCTGCCAGTCTCACCCCTCTTTACCACCTCTACAGGGTGGCTTAGCTCTGAAACCAGCCGGCTCGGGGCGCTCCAGCGACGCGCACGGATCAAAGCCTCGCAGAGACGAGGTTTCAGTCTGTCGCTGAAGAAGCTCAAACTGGAAGTCCCTTGTAACCAGATTATTAACCAAGCTTTATAGTCACTAAAAGCACATCTGTTTTCAAAGGCAATAACCATTATTACTATAGTTACTCAGACATAATATTATTAAAGCAGGATCACTGACATCAGTTATCTGTAGAAGATGACCAGGCTGAGCCCCAGGGTGGGGTCAAACACATCATCAGTTTGGAGTCTCTATACTCCTACAAGAGACTTAAATCCAATCCCCCTTGAATTCTCTTGACTCTTATGTAGGCCCAACTTATCTTGATTGTTAGATCAGATTATTGTATATAGATAGAGCATGTAATAAACTTTAAGTACTTTGAACTAACTCTTCCTGGTTACTTGCACCTGACAGTATCCCAACTGAGGAAAAGCACATTGCTAGCAAACTAGAAATAAGTTTCTTAGCACTGTGGCCAACAACAAAGATATATCTAGGTACATGCTAAAATACAAATGTGACAAGTCATAGGGACAGATTATCTGTTCACATTCTGGAATAAGGATATGTCTAATAAAGCCCTTCTATTTTGTCAGAATCCATTTTCAGTTGCATGGTAAAGTGATGTGCTAATATACTTATGGTACAATAACTGACACTTAAGTAGGCATATACAGTGGATTATGTTTCCTATGTAAGAAGTTTTGTTCCACTACCCCAAAATGCAAGTTCTTGCTGAAATCTTTATGTTACCATTTTCTATACATTTAATGTGGAATAAATAAATAATCTGATTGTAAGATGCCATATTAAGAAGTTGTGCAGCCTACTAAATTAAAAACTTCCCAGTTTAATTCTCTAGAAAAAAATCCAGACTACCTGCTAATTGCAGAAAACATAGACAAAAAGTACTGCATGATTAAAGAAATATTAGAACCAGAACTATTAAGAACAGAACATTTAAGAAAACATAATTTTTCATGTGTATATGAATGGCAATATGCATTGCTCCCAACTGACACTAGATTTGTATTTCCCAAATTCAACATTCCTAGGAATAATGTTGAGAAAGACAAATGATTGTCAATGTAAACAATAGAGTTCATAAATAATGACAGAAATGGATAAATAAATGGAGAGGCAATTTATGGTAGGTGTTGGCCTAGAAACCAGGAGACAGCAAGTTCTATTCCCATTTTAGGTGTGAAAACTAGCTGGGTGATGCTGCCCCCCCCCCCATTCTTCCTAAATCCAATCCACCTCACAGGGTTGTTACTGTGGAGAAAAGAGGAGGAAGAAATATTATGTAAATTTGCTGCCTTGATTTAAAGTAATAAAAGTAGGATTAGAATTAGAATAACAGAGTTGAAAGGGACCTTGGAGGTCTTCTAATCCAACCCCTGCTTAGGCAGGAAACCCTACACCACTTCGGACAAATGGTTATCCAATCTCTTCTTAAAAACTTCCAGTGCTGGAGCATTCACAACTTCTGGAGGATATAAATCTCATAAATATATAAATACTACAATAAGTGAGACAATTCAAACTTCTACCTGTACATACATGAATTTATCAAGCATGCTTGAAGCCCAGCAGACATGTTGGAGTTTTCTTTTAAAAAATAGCATAGTGGGATGCAATATTGGGTCATGGAGTTCATGAAATGGATAAAATTATTGCTTAAAGTGAGACACTGAAAATACTTGCGGATTTGATGAATTACTGTCACTAATACATTATGGACTAAATACTTGATACTTCATGATTTATTTATTCATCTGATTTATTTAAAATATTTATACAGCTTCCCATCTTGAACCAAACTCTGGGTAGCTCACAAATCAAATTATGCACAAATGTCTTGCAGGAATAGCAAAACTCATTTACACTTAGATGGGCCATTTTAAACATGATACTAACATAAGAACTTTGTAAATTCAACACACTTTTTGATTAAATAAGCAGTCTCAAAAATTGTGTGGCGTGTTATGCATAGATTATATAACACAGTAGCCAGAGAATAATATATTAAATAAATGACCAGGGATCCATCTGCAAAAATATGCCAATTAATGTAATTTAAATAAATCAATAATTTGTAAATTGCTATATATTTAAATATTTTTATCTACTGATTTTTTAAAGAAGGCATATGTCTTCCTCTGTCTTGTATACAGGCTACTGCAGCTACCTCTGCTGCAGATAACAAAGCAGGAGGGAGATAAAATATCTTTGTTAAGGAGTAAAGGTACAATTCCTAGCCTAATCTAACATTTTGCATGTTGAAGTGCTAAGTAAAATGTTAAAATTTAGAGCAGTTAAAGACACTGTAGATAAACACATGAAATGATTAATGATCATAATGCAAACATTTACAATAAGTACAAGACATATAGAGAAAGGTCTTTTGGCGAATTTAAATACATTAACTAGAAAATAATTGTTTACAATTACACTTGTTTCCAGATAATATGCCTAGGAGTATATTACAGTGAAAGAAAACATCATGAAGTATATAAAATATTTATTACAAATTTGGAAATACAAATTTAGCAGAGATGCAACATTATTAGTTCTTGTTTCATAAATTTAAACTAACAGCAATTTTCTTATTGGTCTAGTTGCCAACTATTCTAATGTCAGGAACTAATCAGGTGTGAAAGCATATAATAAAATATATACAAGTTACTTAGAATATGCTCCTATATATGTTTATGCAGAATTAAACTCCATAGATTCAACTAAAACTTGCAGATAATATTTTAGTTTAACTGCACAGAACTGAAGTAGCTGTCTCTACAGTCAAATACATATTGGATGTATGCCAATTACAGTATCACATTATCCATAATGAATTTACAGAAAAACATTAAAGAATGATTTTTCTGCAAGAACTAACCCCTTCTTTTAAAAAAGTCTTACTGTACTTATTTTCTCAATACAGCAACCATTAATTTACAATACCATCTCACGCATACCTATTTCAGAAGCCTGAACACTATTACATTCACGTAAATGGTAGAGTTGCACCTTTCTACCGTCGCAGACAAACGCATAACCCAGCCGGGAAGCCGCATCTGCAGGAGCAAGCCGGGTGCATTCTGAACTAGGGCTCGTCAGAACGGTAGCAAAGCGTGAACAATGCAACCGCAATAAAGACTGGAGTCTAAGCACCGCTGCAAGACCTGTTCGGTGCCCGCTTTATTTATTTATTTTTAAGGTGCTCCAGGATCTCCTCTCCCACTCCGGCTGCATCTGAATTTCGGGCTCTGCCCCTTTAAAATTAATTTCCCACCGAACGCCAGCAGAGGGAGATTGAGACCGTCTCGCCAGTTCCATCGTGACTCTTGTTTTTGTTAAATGGGGGGTATTTAAATGTCGTGCTGTCAATCAAAGAGCACTTCCCCTGAAAGCCGCGACAGCAGCTAGGGCTTCCTCGGCTAAATACTCTCCGAAAAACTGCCTTTCCTGCCAAAACTTCAGCGCCGACGCCCGCCAGCTACGGGTTCCAGCCCGGTAGTGGGAAGATCAAAGCCGAAAGGAGACACAAGAAGTCCCCCGCGTCACCAGCGAGGCAGCCCTGAAACTTGTTCCTTTGTTTCAAGGTCCGTGGATACCACCACTACCCCGCGCTCCCGTCTCCGGGCAGAAGCGACCCAGTCTTTTGAAGCGCCGCGGCGCTCGCATTTAGGAGGGCGCTTCTCTCTCCCGCGGGACGCGCCCACGCAAAAAAGACACGCGCCTCCGCGGAGGACAAGGTCCCGCGTCCGAAAGACCCCAGAAGCCCACGAAACTCGGGCACCGGGAGCTCCGAAGTCCCCTCGAAGCCCACACACCTAGGTAGCGGAGGACGGAGGCACTAACCCTAACCTCGCTACTCGTTACTCACGCACAAAAGACACGAGAACACAGCCACGGCTCCCCAGCGTTGTTACGTGAAACTGAATGAGGGCACCTAACTTTTCCGCACCCTCTCAAACTCCACCGAAAGCCCCACCGAAAGCTCTTCGCTAACCTCAGTTCCGGAGTCCTTATATAACTCCACACCGAAGGGGGGGGGGTGGCTGGGGGAAAGAGAGACAAGAGGAGGGCGACCGCTGCTTAAACGCCACTGCTTCCTGGTTAGCTGAAAAGCCCCGAGCCGCCTCTTTCCTCATTGTCCTCCGTTGTTCTCGTTGTTTTCTTCCCCCTCAGCGCCCACCGAAGGTCTCCCTCTCACGAGAAAGTGGAAGGGACAGTGTTTTTGTTTTTTGTTTTCGTCGTCTCCCCCGAAAATAAAAGGACGCGTGGCTGCCAGCCAGCCCCTTTACCTGCCATGGAACCAGTCCTTGCATATGTCGCACTCGATCATGAAGCGGTTCACATCGTAGGGTTCCCGGCACACGCAATACACAGGGGTCGCGTTCGCCGCCGCCGTTCCGGCCATCTTTAAAGAACTCGCTCACTCTCTTGAGTGACTGCCTCAGCCACCCTGCTCTCCCTTCTCGCGCCCCCCCACCCCCCGCCTTCTCCTCCCCCTCCCCACCGCCACCACGAGCCCCAACCAACAGCCGCCGCCGGCCCAGCCAGTCAAGACGGCAGCACCAATAACAACAGCGCGCGTGCGGAACGCCGGCCCTTGACGCGCGCACGCGCGCCCTCCCGCGCGCGCCCCAATCTCCCACATTGAGAGAGATCGCGCGCCCGCCCGCCCGCCCCTTCTTCCTGGCCAGCGAACAAACGGGCGAGGGCACGCGCGATGAAAAGGAACCGTCACGTAAGGTACATCTTGGAGCATGCGCTCTAAAGAGACTATACAGCGGTGGGGAAAATGACACTGACGGGGAACGCGGATCCCGGCGGGGCGGGGGGAAGAGCCGCAGAGGGAGAGATCCTAGGGAAACACCTCGGAAGCGTAGAAGGTTTTGTGCGTCTCTTTCGGCTCGAAGAGACGCGCGCGCGAAGAAAAGCAGAGGAAGCGGGGGGCGGGGGCGGGGGGGGTTGCGTTGAAAGAAGGGGCGCGCGCATCGTTGCCGGAAGTATGTACAGTAAACTCTTTTTTCGGACTTGAACAGACAGCAGAGGAAAGCACGTGTCACCACACAACCCTCCCTTCTGTGTTTTTTTGGGGGGTGGGGGGTGGGCGGGGCTCCAGCTCGTTGGAACAAACGGATAATGAAGTCTCGAGCACATGCTGGCTCCGCCCCATTCCGCCTAGTCCTGCTTGAAAGTCGTCACGTGATGAGGGAAGGAAGGTGCCGCGAGGACATAGAACGTTGAAAAAAAAGAAAAAGAAAAAGCAGGCTCTGTCATAGTGTCGGTCGCTCGGTCCCTCCTTCCCTCCCTCTTATGCAACCGTGCGAGGACGGGCGTAAGGGAGCGCCATACCGAAACTGCGCTCTTGACTTTGTCTCTCGGGTCTCGGGAGGCTGAAAGAGCTCTGACAGCAATAGCTGAGCGAGCATGTCTCCCGCCTCGGTTACTGTTCGCTCAAAACTGAGCCGAAAGACACCCGCTCGCTGCGTTGTAAATAAGATTCCGCTGGTGTGTGGCGGGCTGCCTTCCAGCCAAACGTCGTTTTTTGTTTTTTTTTAAACTACTGCATTAAATTTTGGTCCGTCCGTTCACTTTCACTGCCCCTTAAGATATGTCGTTACACAATTTGGATGGGGTTTCCCCACCTCGTCAGTATTTTTAAGGCACTCTGGAGATGATGATGCTTAAGTTTGAACGCCTCGATGATAAATTTGCCCTTGTAGTTTTATGCGGCGATCTCTTGGCAGGTGAGGGGATTCGGTACCCCAAGCGCAGACTGATGACTCGAAGCATTAGATAAAAGAGGGAGGGGGTGAGATTTAGAATTTCCATTCAATCTTTATTTATTTTTTCCTGTTTAGTGCATATTGCGGGTGGAGACCCTTTGAGATGCAGTGAAATTTTAATGTATGCCGATTGGTGTACATTGAGAGTGACAGTTATTTTTAGTTCTATGTTCTATCTTGTACTACAGAGTCAAAGGGATACCTTGTCTGAGCTTTTTAGAAATATATTCTGAAAAAAGAATGGAGGTACTACTAATCCACCACATATTATGAAGTGATGATTATATCTATAAAAGCAAAATACCACTCATGCATCATCACAAAATCTCCAAAACCATAAAGCCTACAAACTTGAAATTTGGCACTTATGTTCCTCTTGGCTTCTAGGTGCTCACTAAGAAAGGATTTTTCGAAATGACCATCAAAGCATTAGTATTTTGTATATTATTATTAACACGCTCTGATGCTAAGGAGTTCTACTCCCCCTCCCCACCTGAAAAGAAATCTGTTCCAAATGCAAAACACAAGCAGAGGAGAGGAGTTTCAGTTTTAGTTTCACAGCACCAAGCAGCTTTAGTACAAAACAGTTGAGCTAAGCCACGCTCAGGCTCCTTGCTGTCTCCTTGCTCACACAGCAAATACTGTTTCAGTTTCCAAACAGCCTCACACTGATAGGATGCTAGCCAGATCAATACCAATGGATGCTGGTAGGCAGGGGCAGAAATTTTTTCCCCCTTATTTTCCTCCCCCAAAACTAAGCCTCACTACATAGTTCTGTAGCAAAGCACGGGTATCGAGCTAGTTTAAGTATAAATACCAATGCTTTAGAATAAGGGACAATTGTTATTCGGGACAATCTAATAATTTCAAAGTCCTTAACACTTTTAGGCCTATAGATTTCAGTGAGATTTAAATATCTTTGCAAATAAAGTCTCTTTATTTTACATATTTTACAATGAATGGATGCAGTGGTGGGGTTCAAATTTTTTTACTACCGGTTCTGTGGGCGTGGCTTGGCAGGGGAAGGATAAAATCTCCAGTCAGAGGTGGTATTTGCTGGTACTCCAAATTACTCAAAATTTTCGCTACTGGTTCTCCAGAACTGGTCAGAACCTGCTGAATACCACCACTGAATGAATGCACTGTGAACATGAATAGAAGGGGATACTCCTTTAAATTAAAGCAAAGAACTTCCATAAAAAGTTAAAAATAATGCTTTGGGAAACTTTGAATGTCATAAATGAGCTACTGTCCAGCTTGGCAATCAGTCCTGCTTAGCAGCATTGAAATTTCAATAGTAAAAGCATAGAAAGTTGGGCTAATGTAGATCTCTCAATGTGATAACTATTCAAAATGTAAATCCAAGAACGAACTTACATTAGTGCTATCATAACAATTCTGCAAAAATCCAGATGACCAATAGATAGTTATCAAAAACTTTCTGCATATCTTTGCTGCTATGTATCTGGATTTTTTGCAGCACAAATACAGAAACCCTAGACTAAAGTTACAAGGAAATTATTTGAAGATAGAACACCACCAAGCTTTATATCCAGCTAAACAGTATGAATATTCAGTGGACAAAGTGGCTAATATATCTTTGTAGCTTATTTTGTTGGACATACTTCTTTGTCTATGACTATAATGCCTGCAAATATTATAAGTTTCATTGATGAAATAGTTTCAAATTTCCTAAAGCTCTCAAGTTATCACCTTGTCTTATTTTTAAAGGAAAAGTTATTGATTCTCCCACTCTGGATTCAGGAGCAGAAAAAGAAAACTCAAGAGTTCTCACAGATATCAACATCTTAATCTGTGAGCTCTGAAGGAGGGAGGGTTGCACTGTTGAGACCACAACCTGCAGAGTATTTGATTCCTAAATTTTGTTTAAAGTGGCTTGTTGTTCAGTGAAATGGTGGCTCTTGCACTTGTAGTATTATTCAGTTAAGAAAAAACAACCTCTAACAGTGTTCTGCCATTTTAGATGATGACTGACAGACTGCCTCTGAGACCAGTCCTCTCTTTGCAATGTGACAAGTCCCAGCTGCAAGGAACTCACCATCTCATAAACCAAAACCTGCTGTTCAATAAGGCCAGCTGCAATCTGCTCCATTTTATGGTAATTAAAAATAGCATTTGTGCACCTGGTCGGCTGCCAGTGCAGCTGCTGCAGATATGTACTAAATTTGAATGCCTAGATGCCATACATATCATCCTTTGGTTCATCTGGAATATGCAATAGAGCAAATGTCTCTGGCTACCATTTACAAATTGTGTCAAGTTCTGTAATAAGTGATTTTGTAGTAGAAATTTTAGTGGAAATTCAAAATGGTTGTATTTTTATTCTGAGGAATATGCTGTGAATTTATTTTTGTGTAAATGTTGGATCTCGCTATCTTTTGCATGAGTTGTATTTCAGGTTTTGAAAATCAAGTTCACTGAATTCCGTTGGGTTGAACTCCACGGGATAAGCATATAGCCTTTGTGTATCATTTCTTTAGCCTTAGTTATTAGAAGAAACTAATTTTCCAGACAAATATATTTGTTTATTCCTTTTGACTCTTATTAGTAGTTGTTCATTGCCTATTTTTTTTTATCATCTGATGACTTGCCTCATTTCTAATTAAGCAATGTTGCATGTTTCATAATACTACAAAAACTTGTAAAACCTGTGAACAATGATGATACATAGATGAATATTCTACCCATAGGCATGACTGACTGTATTGTATCAGCACATCTAAATAAGCTGTTGCTCACATTTACATGTCTACTATTATAATAAGATGGCTAACGAATGAAACACATTGTAGCTTCTGTCAGCAGCAGGAGTACCACATATTCCATCTATGGTTTATCATCCTTAAGCATGTCATCTAAACACAACAAACTCTAATTCTGGCCTGGCTTATTAACGATCAATTAATGTTCCATAAACCAAAAGTAGCACACGTCCTGTGTTTGAATTAAGTTTAATCTTTAGAACTCATTAAGAGATCAAGGAAGGAAGCAATGCTATTTGACAGGAAATTCAGCATGCCTAGAAGAAACAATCAGACTAAGCAATGCAAGCAGGTGCCCCACATGAATATTTTCTCTATTATTATTCTTTGCATCTACTAGGGTCTCCCATCTTTCCAGTCTCTTCATTGAAAGGTGTTTTTGGTCTCAGATGTTGAACTAGTTTTTCAGTATGTCCTTCTGGTGTTTTGTAAACAACATAGCAATTAGTTACTAAGCCAAGTTCAAAATGCTTTTGCTGTATAAGACTCCAGATACCTTGAGATAATAATACCTGTCACCTTAGTTGCAAAGCTAAAACAGCAGTTGATTTTTAAGATAATAAGATGGTATCTTGCTTGTGTGTCCAACTGATATAATCTTGTGATCAGTTCACTGGTGGGATTCCATTTTTTTTTTTACTACCAAAGGATACTGTAAAATCTCCAGTCAGAGATTTGCTGGTTCTCTGAACTACTCAAAATTTCCACTACCGGTTCTCCAGAACTGGTCAGAACCTGCTGAATGTCACCTCTGGATCAGTTATACAGTAGGTGGACCTTGTGATCATTGGTAGGTGTTACCTCAGCTGGCATTGTCACCGTTTGGCACCTGTTCTCTGGAATGCACTCTGTTCTGAAATCCATGCAGCACCATTATTTTACAAAACTGTTGACAATTTATCTTTACTC